CCTATTCCCCAAAGCTAGACCTGATTTTAATTTTGTGCCCAAAGCGTGGGGAGAGACTTGTTCCCCCCGCGCATACGCACAAAGGAGTCGACGGCTGCAGTACAGAGAACAGCCCCTTCTTTTTTCCCCATCGTCCCCCCCCCCCCGCACCCCCGGCAACGACTGGAAATGGTGGATTTGCATGGCACCAATTTCGCACACACCCCCGGGAAGGACTTTGCAATGCACGGTTGAGCTGGAAAAGGTTGGCCCCTCTTCTCCGTCCATAAACAGGGGAGCCTATGTGGAATGATCAAGTTAACTCCCCTCCCCCCGCACCCTTAAACTTACCTTTTGCCCACGAAGCGCTCGCGTTCCTCGGTCTCCCCCCTTCAGCCAGCTCCAGGCGCTGGGAACGCAGCTGCAACCCAGGGAAAGAGGGAAAACCGGGAAGGGCCGAGCGTAGACGAACAAGACCGAGGATAGCCGAAGTCTCTCCTTCGGGGAAAAAAACCACCCGAACGCCGTTGTCGGAAAGAAACGAGTCTCTGCCCGAGCGCGTCCGAGAAGAGTCGAAAAAGCCAAACGCCAAGGGAGATTCGTCCTTTTGTCTGCAAAAGTTGGATTGTACGCTTCCTTTCCCCGCAGTAAATAAATAAATAACGCTTGCAGAGATAGCGGGTCTCGCTATCTGCTACTGGGGGCGGGGTGGGGAGTGCAAATCTATCTAGGTTTGTTCCTTTAATTAATCTTCTGCCGAGCATTTCCTGCCTTAGCAAGAAAGGCATAATCGGGATGCTTCCTGGCAAGGCTTTTTATTATGCAATCGTGGGAATGAGGTTTTTCTTAGCCAGGACTTTGCTGGGCATATCGCTGGCAGCTGACACTTTTACATGTTTTGCTCGCCATTGAGCGACGCTGCTCTTTCTGCAAGGGGTAATCACGCCAGAGGGTGATGTGTTTCCCTGAAGGGAAGGGTGGAAGATGAGTGGGACCAGGGGCTGAAGACAACCGAGCAATAGGTCCGAGTTTAATTACTGCCTCCTCTTTTGTAAAACATGCAAAGCCAACATTTGCTTGGTATAGAAAGAAACGAGCCGTGGCAGGAGTTTTCCACTCTGAGCAGGCAGAGAAAAGGCCATATTCTAACGGAAATCAAGGGGCGCCTTGATTCTTCGCTGTTTTTTCTACCTCTACAGTGAAAGCTAAACGGTAGTCCGTAACATAGGACCGAGGCGATTTGCGTGGGTCCCGGAAAAAGCCGAAAACATCCGAGTCGAATGTGCTCGCGTTCACCGAAACGAATTTAACCGAGAGGACACGAAAATGGCCGAAACCTCAGCTATGTAGACACGGAACTGATCGGCTTCTTGCTTTTACGTCGTTCTGAAGTCACTAAAATGCTGTGATGGCGGGGCGGGGAGAAGATAATTTCCGGAAGCGGCTTTTAATCTTTGCGAAGCTGTTTTGTTTATCCGTGATCTGCTAAATGTCAGCAAGGCTCGCTTAGTATAGATGTATAATAAAGCAGGACTAACCAGATCTGGGCTGTGAAAATCTGGGCGATCGGTAGATGGCAACAAATAGTAGCCCTCCCAAAATATATTTTAGACTAGAATGTCTTTATTGTCTTACACTTCTTCCACTGAGATGACTTAAATCAGTGTTTTTCAAACTTGGCAACTTTAAGACGTGTGCAGTTAAATTCTGGGACATCTCCCAGAATTCCCCAGCCAGCCTTGCTGACTTAAATGTTTTTATGAGAAGAGGAGGATGGGTGTTTCAGCTAACGACCATTTGAAACGTGCAAGGTTAACTGGATCAACTTTCTGCTCCGTAGGCAGGAGAAATTGAGGGTCCTTCACAGGGGAGATACAGCTCATGAATCAGTTTTTGGTACCTTTGGAGTAATTGTAACGAAGAGTAGCTCCGTGACGCTTGCAGAATAACTTTGCCTGAGCCCTGAGTCATGAAACGATTAGTTCCCTCCTGGGTAAACTGGAAAATTGAGCAAGTAAAGCTGAATTTTTGTGGTTATCTCCAGGGCTGTTGAACTTAGATTTGGATACTGTGTATTAAAAATAGATACATCCATGTAGTGATCTTGGCAACAGTGTGGAAGCGGTGGACATTGCTGTTTTTCAACTGCCCAGGGTCGCCTACCGCTCTGCGATTTCCAGCAGGGATCTCATCTTCGTATTAACCATGGTTGCACCTGCTTATCGTCCAAACTCAGCCAAGGTTAGCATTTGCTTTAAAAAGCCTATAAGCTTAGTGGATTACTATGTCCTTTCTGAGCCAGTTCAAACTCATTTACCCAACCAAAGCCCAAGTAATCTGCAGAACATTTTCCTGTACCATCTGCTACGTTCATAAGTCACTTTTGCTGGTCACACCATGGTTAAGTTTAAGATCCCTAATCGCTTCCACTTTTTCTATGGTGCATCTTATATTACTGGACGAACTCTTGAGATTGGGACAAATATCCTCCTTATCTTCAATCTGCCAGAGTCTTTATGGGGTCCAAATTACCAAATAAGCAAGGGAGAAAGAAAAGATCAATAAACCACTGTCCCATATGGAAGCTTGCTGGTTGTCCCTCTGCTCAACCTGCCTCACAGGGTTGTTGTGGGGAAAATTGGAGGGGTCTGCTACATATGCCTCCTTGAATACCTTGTACTCCTCGAGCTAAAGTGGGATTGTGATTCCCCAAATATGTAAAGACAGCAGCAGGCTTGTATTTCACAAAACAGATTTTCATTTAGGATTAAAATGTAGTGTAATTTTCAAGTCAAGAAATGCAGTTTGCTCCTTTTTAAAAAAAACAAACAAACTTTCAGATAGATACGTTTTATTTGCAACATCACTTTGGGGTATTTGTTACTTACCTCTGCTATTTTAATACTTCATTTCAAACCTGTTGCTTGCGAAGGCATAGTTAAGTAGATTAAGTTACACACACTGAAACCGATAAGGAAATTTGTCATAATGACTCATTTGTCCCATTCATTTCAGGTTTGATTAACTTAATCAGGATGTTACTCAGGGATTCTTGAAATAACTTGCAAATATATCATTCTAAAGTCTTACCACGTGCTCTTTATTTTGGAGTTCTTTGGATGGCAATCTTACGTGACGGTCTGCTTGCACCATTCATTGTGCAACTGAAGTCACAGAGTAGAAATATTAGAGATGCAGTGATGAATAAAAAGTATGGAAACTTCTGTCAAAATGCCTCTCCTTTCCCACCACCCCCAATGAGCAGCTTCCTTGGCCAACTGCGGGGCAGAAATATTACTATTTCCAGGGGCTCTGACATGCAGCCCCAAATATGGCTAAACTCCTCTTCCTCAACTCAATGCCTTCCAGATGTGTTGGCCACCTGAAATTCCCAGGCCAGCAGGTTGAATAGGGATTCTGGGAACTGTACTTCCAGTCCCTCTGAAGAGCATCAGAAGGCTGGTCTAATACTTAGGGCTCCTTTCACAACTCAATCTTTACCCTGGCAGTGAGGAAGAAAGGGATGGGTACATCTCTCTGAGATCTTATGTACTTTGAGGTTTGTCTTCCTCTAGCACAGCTGTTTCATCATCTTGATTTTTTAGTTTTATTAACTTGAGGTCTTTAATGCTCTTGTAAGTCACTTGGCAAGTGGCAGACCTGGAAATCAATCAATCAAATAAATCAATGCAGCAGCTGATACAGACCAGGAATATATAGGCCCTGCTCCATTTGTTTTATATTTCCCATTTCAATCAGGTTTCTAGTGGGAGTCATAATACCATCTTGTGTAATGTAATTGTGAAAGGTGCGGGGTTTAAACATTTTTTTAATGAAATCTCTTTCCAGGAACACCTGTTTTTGGATGGATCTTGATGAACTTCAAGGGAAAAAGGACAACAGAAGAGGCCAAAATCTACTCCCCTTCCTCAGCATAAACTTCCTCAGTGTTTACAATTAGGGAGAGAAACCAAGTCCATTTAGAAAAACAAAGTGCAGAAGGCCCACAGAAAGCAAACTTGGGGAAATTAACTTGAAAGCAGCTTGCCTCCTGCAACCCCAGCGGAATCTGTAAGGAACACAGTTTATGGCTGATCTTGAGAAGCTAAGCAGGGTTGGTCCAGCTTAATGCTTGGATGATAGACCACTGCGAAGTCCCTAGTTGTACGTTCAACTGGAAGTAAAAAAAAATCCTTCAAGAAAGAAATGACAATTCCCACCTGTACTGTTGCCAAGAAAACTACATGGACATGTCCGTAAAGCCATCAGAAACTGAGCGGGCATTAAGGAAATCTTTACGTTTTGCCCTCTCTGCAGATCATGAGGAGCCACTAGACATTCCTGGGCTAGGGACCAGTGAATGTATACCTCTAGGCACAGGATCTCCAGCCACCAGACCAAATTCTGTCTCCACTGCCCAGCGAAAGGACCAATCAAATCCAGCAACCTATTTCCATGGCCTGCAGCAAAGTATTTTCACAGGGAAAAACCAGACGAACCAGCACTGACTTGGCTGGAAGGGAGATACTGAACTGGTGCCATTTCTTATCTCATTAGTGCTGAAGGGAAGTACTTTGAACAAAAGTCGGGGGAGAAAGACACATGAGAGCCAAGGGTGATGGGGCAGCAGCTCCCCACCTTGGTTGCGTAAGGAGTACGTTCCCCATTCTTTGCACCATCAGGAGGAAAGGCATATTGAGGAGGAACTCTGTGGGCCAACTCCTGTTGGCCCTGGTGTCGTTGAGTGGTGGAGTGGAGAATTCACTGTTTTCTATTTTCCAAGTATGATGAGATTCTTGTGAAACCGGCTTAGGAAAAAGGATTTGGAGTTTTTTTTCCCCCCATCCCTCTGGGAAAGCATTTATCATATGCAAATGACAGTTTTCTGTGGGTTTTTGCTTTATAAGCAACCAAGCCTAGTTTTTCCCTTCTGTGAAAAAGAAGCCAGTTTTCCTTGGCGTGCTGGAGTGTGACCCAAATGAGAGCTTACAAACTAACAAAAAAAGCAGGGAAAAAACAGAGCTTTCCCCAGAAATATGAATGAAACAAAATGTGAAGTGTGTATTGCTGCCAGCAGTGATAAATGTACTTTGGGTAAAAGGTTATTGAGAGGACCACAAACTGAACATTAGAAGACACTTGAACATTACAAAATAACAGCAGTTCAACCACCATGACTTTATCATACATTGATCTTGGGGCTTATGGTTTTGTAAAAGGACAAGGAACCAAGAGTAGCATCTGAGAAAAAGAACAGTATCTGGGGACATCATGTTAGAGGGAAAGATGTAACAGATTATTCAGTTTAAGTATTCAATGAACCTTAGAAAGAGAGAATGCAGCGCTGGCTATACACTTTCAGAAACATCCTGCTTCTGAACCTCACCCAACTGCCCCAAGCCATTCATTGGCAGGGACCCACCCTTATATCCAGATTAAACTTTAAAAATAATGTTGGATAGCTGTCTGTGAGAAAATAGGACAGTCTGCTCCAACATGGCACTCTCTGGATGTGTTGGGACTGCAATTTCCCAGATACTGTCAAGAACCCTGGGAGATACATCATGGAGAAGGGTAAAATGAAATGGAATGGAAAACTAGAGTTATCTTGTTTGGTCAAAGATCAAACCTTTGGACCATCTAAGCTGAAGCTGCCTATGCTGGCAAAGTCTTATGCTGAGAGAAAGATCTTTCTCATTCTGATACTTAAGATCCTTTCCTGGAAATGCAACTGAGAACGGGCTTACAGTTTGCTGAATTTGAACCTGTATGCGTTCAGCTGTGATCTCCCAAAAATGAGTGCATCGTCTGTCCTTTTTTGGAAGATGCATTGATATGTCTGACTCATATTCAAAGCCAGGGACTCCATCAAAACTGTTTTGATGACATCCCCCCAAGATGTTTCCATTTGCTGCAGGGAAGATGTAAAGAGGGAGAAGTAGCTCTCCAAATCTCATTACTCCCTTTTTGGTTTTGCAGTGGATCTAGAAAGGGTGCCATCTTATTCTTCCACAGTAAGTATAATAGAGCGAAATGGGAACCCCCACAACCCCCCAAAAGAAAATCTCAGGGTTGTAGATAGAAAAGATAACACAGTGGAATTGAACATTAAAGTTTCTGGATATAAACTGAATAGGACCACACTAATTTTTTTTTTCTTGTTTACCCCATTGGCTTTTCTCCTCAATTTTTGATCAAACATTGGCAAAACAAGAGCTGGCATTAGGTTAGGATATCAACAGCATACATAGGCACTGCAATGTTTACAGATTTAATAGGGTTGGGATTTGGAGTTTTCCAACCATTGCTACAATTCCTCCTTTTACCAGTTTCAATGCAAGAGAAGGGACTCCCTAGAATGAATAGATTCTGCCTGTTGAATGAACAGGCTGCTCACACAGGGCAGCAAAGATATTTCATATCCCTCGCTATTTAATTTATTGCCTTTTCTCAGAGTCAGCATTAGCTAAGTGGGCAGTGGGAAAGATTATGAATCTGGGAGTATCCTCACTCCAGGAGATACCCAGTGCACAGATGGGAAAGCTTAATGCTTGAACTTAGGGCACCAAATGGAACTTCGGCACCAAATCTGGTAGCTCCAGATCTGACTGAAATAGGAATTTCTTTCTAATTAGTAGAAAAGCAGCATTTCCTTAATCTCCAGCCTTAATCACCACTGACCATGCCCTGTGAAGAGGAACAGAGGGTGCTTTCCAGGGAGGAGGAGGAAGTGGTAAATAGTTAGAAAAGACCCCACCAGCAAAATGAAAATGGAATCCCCAAGTTCTCAGTCCTTGGCATTGGTGTATTTTCTTTCAAGTTCCCCCTTTTGGTCTGCCAGGGACAAAGTGGCTTTAATAGGTCTTCCAGTCATTTTTCCAAATTCTCCTGTAATTGCCATCTCAGGGAAGGTGAGGGTGAGTTCACTGCCTTTTCCCCATGGGTTGTCCTGTGTGTGACTCCAAGAGTGGGCGAAGACTCCCTCTGTTCCCAATTTCCCCAGTGCTGGGAGGAGACACTCTTGTACTCAACGGCCATTGTCCCATCATCTTGCTCAGTGTAGACCCGGGCCTCCAGCTGGACGGGATATGATCCCTGGCATTCCCATGCTGCTGTGATTCCTGCTGGCTCATCACCTTGCACTGCAATGTGGGGCACAAGGGGCAGCTGGGGATCAGGGGTAGATGAGCAGCAAGACCTGTCCTCCACCCAGGAAGCTGCATGAGATCCACGCCGCCAGCCTACAGGTTTACTCTCTGCTTGGCCCTCGCCACTGGATGTAATTTCTGGCTCATCAAAGCTCACCTCCTGGACTGCTTCCTGCTTCTTGAAAGAGTCCCGACGCTCGGACAAGTTCAGCCGCCGCATAACCACCACTTCGTGGTCTCGATCATGACGTTCCTCAGACCAGTCCCGAAGTCGAGAAATACCAGAGTCTCCCAGGGTGACCATGCTGCTCTCCCTGGCACCTTCGTTTCCCAAGATGGGCATCTCCAGCATGAGCTTTCGGCTGCCAACCACCTTTTCAGCAAGGCAGGTAGGGATTTTTTCTGTTGATTGGACTCGTTTTAGAAGTGGGGAACGGGAGCTGTCTGCACTGCGAGGCCGGGACGCTTGACGGACAATTGTAGGTGGAGACAAGGTCTTGCCTTGGAATGTCTGGATGTTTTTTGTAAACAATGGAAGTGGTGAAGGGGACCTTTGGGGAGACGGAGGCTGGGGGACGGAAGATGGAGTGCAGGCCAAGGGGGAGGGTGGGATGCTGCTGGTTGACTTGCGACGCCCAACCTTGTAGCGATGACTGCTGATCTTTGGTGCCAAGCCGTGTAGGGAACTTGGTCGGATCTGTCCTGCTGGAGAAGTGGGGGTGCTGGAGGATGGGGAGGGACTCTGGGGTGACACAGAATCTGACAAAAATAGGAGCAATTAGGTGGAACATGGTCAGACTCTCTACTGAATATATCAGTAGGTGGCAGAAGGTACTTCCACCACCATTGACTTCCTTTTTAATAAAAATACAAACATACAAAATGTGTATTTAAAACTATTAGTCTAGAATGAGTCTAGTCTAAGAAGGCTTTAAGCTTGATGCATTAATACATGGCTGGAGACACCATTTCCAAATCAATGTTGTGTTAACCCTCAAGCTTAAAGTTTCAATAAACCAAAAAAATTTTGATTAAAAGAATCCTCAAAATAATTATCATCCTACATGGCTTAAGGCCTGGATATCTTCAAGTCGATTTGCTCTGAAATAAATCTACCTGTTCAATTGGATCAGGGAGAGAAAGCCTGTTGAGGGTCCTACCACTGAGGGAATTTCATCTACACGGCCCCGTGACTGGGCCTTCACAGTGGTGGCCCCTCTTACCTTTCTTTTGTTTTGTGTTGTTCCTGTCACTTGCCTTTTGTATTTCCATTGTTTTTAATGCATTGCCTTTTCTTAAAGCCAATCTGTAGCAGAGCAGCATAGAATTTTATTATGATTATGATTACTATTATTATTTCACAACTGGGTGGAAAAGGACTGTATTTTTATGAACTCTCTCTTTTGATAAATCAGGGAGACAGTATAATTTCTCGAGCAGCTGGGTTTTGCTTGTTAAGACTTCTCTACTTTGACAAAGAAAGATAAATATGGTGATAACAGAGATTAGATTAACCTTTTGGCCAAAATGAACAGGGACTCTGAAGAGTCCATCTTTTCTTTTCAGTAATTAATTCACAGTTACGGCAGGAAACACTAATGAAGTCTGAAGCTTTACTCTTTAAGGAAAGTAATAATTCAATGGGCAGCTTAAGAAGAGAGTCCTCCAGATGGAAGAGCAGGATGTGCTGATAGAACCTGGGGCAACTGTGGTGTAGTAGATTGATAAATGTAAATGATAAATTGTTTAAACTGTTACTTCCAAAAAGCTTCCTGTCAGTAGTTTGGAGACAAGTATGGATTTTTACATGAAAGGATACTGTGCTCAGTTTGGGTGGTAATGAAAATAAACGTGGTAGTCTGTTTAATGGGACTTATTATTTTAGTAAAAAGTAATGCCTAACATTTATTCACTCACAACAGAAGTAGATGATGATAAGTCTAGGTGGGAAAAGGACTTGGCAAGAAACTCACAAACTCCTACCTGGCACGAAGTCTGGGGCAGGGCTGCGGCAAGAAGTGACAGATCCAGGGGATGGGCTGTGCGTTGGGGATCCAGGAAGGCTCTCGCTGGATGAGAGAGAATGATGGAGCCCAGAGGAAAAGCTGCGGCTGGTGTGCAAAACGGATGTTTGCTTTGAGATCTTCTTGAACAGGGATTTCCTTCTAGGAAGAGAGGGGGAGAATGACACTTGCTAAGCGTTCCAACATCTGAAGAAGTAGGCTGAGACTTACCAGAATGAAGGCTGATTTGAGGTTGATTTATCAACTTTATCTTGAGGTAGACTTTAAATAACTGTCCTGTCCTATTCAGCCAGTTTTAGCATCAACAAATAAAACTTTATTGAAGCAAGAACACAAGGGGAGAAATAATTTCTTGTGGTGAGGGGATGTATTTTTATTCTATTTTTAAAAGAGAGGAGCTCTGAGGGTTACAGGGGAGTGGCTGAGTCACTGCAGCTGACTCAATGCACAATAGAGTCTCATGAGATTTTACATATTTATTTTCAAGAAAAAAGCTGAAGATCACTCTGCAAAAATCAGCATTTTGCTGCCGGGTTTCAAGACAAATTTAGAAGGCCTTAGGGGGCTCCCAGAAAAAATGGGACAAGGATGCTACAGGTAGCCTGTAGCTTGCCCACCCTTGTAAGAACAAGTAAAGGCAAAACAAGAGGTGGGCCAACCCACAAACCATAAGGCATGAAAGACCAACCTTATTTGATTAAGATGACCCACATCATTCATTCAAAGCACCGGGCCCCACCTAATTCCAAGTTTAGAATTCCACTTAGTTTTAGTCTTAATTACCTTCCTCTGATCAACACCAATTCTATTAACTTCCTTGTTTGGTCCCTGCCACCTACTTGTCCTGGCTGTCCCGTTTGCGACTCTTCTTACACCGACGGGCCATCCGTGTCTTGGAACTATTCTTGCGGGCAGGGCCAACTCTGATGCTGGTGTTTTCTAAGGCGGTCGTCCTCAGCGATACCTTGTTTCCACTCTGCAGGAGGGAGACAATGGAGAGCTGTTGGACCCCCAAAAGGTAATATTTGAAAGGCTACCTCCCCAACATCCACAGAAATGCTACAGACACTTGTGGATGTAACATGATCACATTATTGGACCATGTAGAATAAATGTGCTTGGAAATTATTTCTGGAATCCATTCAGTTTTGAGTTTTTCACAGATGTATTTTGAAAGGCATTCCATCAGCTGGTATCTCACAGTTCTTCAGCATTTGTACTTCCCGTAACAGTATGATCAAAAGCATTAGGTGTCAACTATATGGTTCTCCTGTTGCATTTATCAGCTGATTTATAACCTCCTTTGTTTATTCATCTCAATATCAACTTGTGGTGTATTTATTTATTTATTGAATTTAGATGCCACCCATCTCCCCCAGAGATTTCCAAATGAATGTACAGAATCCAAATGAATTTACACTGTTTACATAAATGTACATCATTTGCATAAATTTACATTATTTAATGTAATTACATTATTAAAATTATTCATTTAATGTAAATACATTTACATTGTTTACATAAATTTACAGTATTTCCCAATGAAGTTACAGAAGGTACATACCTTCAGCAACAGTTCTACGACATCCATGTGAACCAAGCCAGAGACCGACTCCCCATTCACATGAGTGATGAGATCTCCCGCTCGGAGTCCTGCATCATGAGCTGGGCTCCCATCCTCTACATTCTATGATAGAAATGAACACATATACCATCGGCCATTACTTTTGTGAAAATCCACTTATGAACATTTGAAAATATTGGCTAATCAAGGAAGGTGCAGAATTAAGTATCCTAGTAGCTTTCTCTTCCACAGACTTCTCCGTTCTTCCCCACTCCACTCCGCTTGCTCCCAATCCAGCAGAAAAGATGAGTACCCAATAAAAAAAACCATGTTTCAGAATTTAGTCGTGCAATTTCCAGCTTGGAAAAAAAATGAATCTGGGATTTTGCCTCTGTGTACAACCTGTGCAGTTTCCAGCTACTGCTTTTCTTTCTTTGATTGCTCCTGTTGAAGTTTTTTATTCTTTGGTAAGCCACTTTAGAAATTTCACTGAATGGGGAGATTGAAATTTTTAAAAAATGTAAGCCTGTTACGGGTGAGATTATAGCTCAGTAGCAAAAGTTTGTTTATTTTATTTATTTATATTTCAAATTTAGATACCGCCCATCTCACAAGGAAGTGACTCTGGGCAGTTTACAATAAAAACCTAATCTAAAGTTCTGCTTTAGATGCATGTTGCATTAAAGCCAGGTTCATAAGCATACTCAGACTTGTAGAATCTCCTCAGCTTTTACGAGAAGCTTCAGTTGTACCACCAATCATCCCTGGTACAAAATACTGACTCAAGTGTAGACATACTATACTTATTCTCCAGGGTTCTCAAAAAGAATTAACGGAGGTTCAACAAGACTAGAATTACCCTAGGGTGGAATCCATATTGCCCTGAAGATTTCTAAGTATTTTCTGCCTGTTTTTCTATTGGGATCAAGCTGGAATCTTCCTCCTTCAATTTGTTCTTCACATCCACTTGGTGGAATGTATGCCCTCAGTTTAGGAAAGACTGAGCCACATTAGGAGTTACGTAGCTCTGCCTTTTCTCTGTTATCATTTATCCTTTTGCTAACAATTACATGGCTAGGAATTTATGACCAGGTTAGAAAACTCTCCAAAGTTCCTTCAAACAAAAAACAAAAAAACACCATTCCTGGTTTTCCTCCAAAGTGTTCTTTTTCAGCAAAGTGACTTAGGGAGGAAAAGATCCTCAGCTGTTATTATTAGGAGCATATAATCCTTGCACGTCTATTGCAAATCATCCACAGATCTACCTGACGTTCCCAGTTGCTTCTTTGCTTGCTGCTGAATTAAAGGATTTCAGTCCCAAAGGTGTGAAATGACCTTTTCTATCTGAATCCCTATTATCGGTTACAGTGGAGCTCCCTTATCTGGTCTACAAGCCCCCCTTTAATTCTATGGCTCTTAACAAATCACATAAAGCAACGTTCTTTTGATATATTAATAAACCACAATGGCTGGATTCATGCCTCACTGTAAGCCAGTGTTTCTCAACCTTGGCAGCTTGAAAACGTGTGGACTTCAACTCCCAGAATTCCCCAGCCAGCATGTTGGCTGGGGAATTCTGGGAGTTGAAGTCCACAAAACTTCAAATTGCCAAGGTTGAGAAACACTGCTCTAAGTCAAAGAGCTATATTCGCCCACTATTCTAAGCCACAAGCACAACACTTTATGGCTGATCTTACAGCTGCTTTCTCCCATAGTATTAACCCACGATTTCTGTAACTTTGATGATTAAACAAATCTTAGGGACCTGGTCCATATATAAAGCTAAGCTGGAGTGGAGTGGAGTGGTCTCAATGTCCACACGGTGTCTTAGTGTCATCTGTAAACCATGGCTATGATTTTAAACAGCCCTGAACTAGGTGAACAGATAGTCCTACCTAGCTTTCCTACATTCCAAAATTCTTTCTCCACCACCTTCAAACAACCTGAAAGAAAAGTACAATTTCCTGCCTACCTATTTCCTCTGCTCCTTTCTGCCTGTGTGTGTGGTCTTGGCTTACCCAAACCATGTGATGCACAGTGTAAACATCACTGTTGCCCATGTAGACACGGATGGCCCTCAGTGTGAAGCCATACTTCTTCCCTGAGCTGTGGATGACAATGGGAGGTCGCAGACTGGTGCCACCAAGCATGGAGTCCCGACTTGGGGAAGAATCACGAGATGAAGGATTGGAAGAAAGGGAGCGGGGTGAGATGGGGCTCCTGAGAACAGCCCCATTAAAGTCATCTGCAAAAAAAAAAAAAAGGAAGAGGGTGGACAATGATAATAGTGTAATAGCTGAATTACTACGAATCTCCAATGAAAAAGAATCTAAGCAAGCAAATAATGGAAAACTTTCTCTGCTTCTTTTTCTTTCTCACGGCACTTCTGTATCACCAATATTTCCAAAATGTCAAAAAAAAAAAAGGCTGAAAGCAATCCATTATTGTCTTCACTTTGGCCAACTTCAAAAGGCAAAGAACACACAGAAAACCTTTGGAGCCAAACACCAGCTTTTCTTTCAGCTGACCCACAGAAGAAAACAGTGTATGCTCTGTCTCCTAAGATCCCACCAGCTGTAATCCCCTCGGCCCCACCCCACAGAAAAAGAAATACAATAAATTGTTAGCATCTCTACCCATCCATGTATTCTTTCTAATGGTATAGGAAAAAAAATTCTGACAATTTTTTATAATAGGAAGCTATGCCCAAGGCTCTCCAGCCATTCTCTCACCATTCCTTAGTTGCATTTGCAAGCCCGTTAGGTGTTAAGGTAAAATTACAGCATGGTGACAATTCTGCAATCAGGTGCTGTCTCTACTCACTGTCCCTGTCCCCATCATTGCAAGCTGGCTGGATTGGGACAGGGGCAGAGATATTCGAAGCAGTGCCCCAAAACAAAATAGACTCAGCTCTCCAAAACAAATAATATTGTATGATTAACCAGATCTAGAGCTAATCCAAAGTGGGCCAAAGCACTTGTGCAGAAGTCCCATCTCTGTGGCTGGAGAGTTGCATTAAATGAGGTGTGAACAAATGTTAAGCTTAAGGGCTGCACTTTTTGGGGGAAAAAACGTTTTGGCCTTTGGGGATCACTGACAATACTGGCTGGGCAGAGCAAAAGATTTTTAGCCCAGTGGCGGTGGGGAGGCTGAAGTTTAATTTGGGAAGAAAGGTGAAAATTGTCCCCATTGTTATCAAATGTTGGCAACATAACCTGGGGGTCTTTAGAGAGGCACAGACTGGGAGGCTGAAGGCTGCTTGCCTTCTGTGGGTTTCTTTTTTATCATTAGATGAATCTACATATGCAAAGCAGGCTTGTATATTCTTTTGTTTAGGGGAGAATTTACAGAAGACTAGCAGAAGATCTATTTCACCTATAGGGTCAATCTTCATTTAAAGAATAGGGAGAAGGGAAAACTAAACATAAACACTAAGTCCTCTTCTGTTTTACCTAGGACTACCTTTACTGAACTTAGTAGGCCTTTCCTTTAAGCAGGCGTATTCAGCATAGTACTATAAATCCACAGTTCAAGATTATATAAAGCCACCACTGAGGGTTCTCACCTTTTCAACTGCCTTTGACTAGAAACTTCTTTGCTCTTCTTCTCTGACTTGTCTTATATTGGGGGGGGGGGCTAACAGGTTCCCTCCTGTTCCCATGGAGTCTTTGGGGTTCTCTGAGCTTGGTTGTTTTCTTGCAAACATTTCGTTACCCAGCTAGGTAACATCTTCAGGCTAGCACTGAAGATGTTACCTAGCCGGGCAAGAAAACAACCAAACTCAGAGAACCCCAAGGACTCCACAGTTCAACCCTGAGCTATATATATTCTCTTCTATTAGTCCTGTTCCCCCAACACGTTTAACTGGGACAGTGAGGGGAAAAGATGTCAGCATATTTTGGAAACACCAAAAAGAAGTCAATTAATGCACTTGACTAACCCCAGCAAATTAGATGTAGCCCAAACAGACTTAGTTTTGCCTAAGGTTAAACTAGTTCCATCTATGAGCCATTTTGGGGAAACCCCAAAAGCTGGCCTATGGCTCCATTTTGGCTGCCCAGCTCCAAGAAAAAGAAGAGAGCTGGAGAGAAACAAACATTACAGAACTCCTTTCAAGGTCTGGCATTACAGAACACACCTGCCAAGCACTGACTGGTTGCAGCAGGTAAGCCACACCCATTGCTGTGTGACTGACCAATGGGGAAGGGCCTGGCAATATACTTAAGCCTTGCCAGCAATGGGGTCCATCAGGAACTTAGTGTGTCTGTAATGGTGTGTTTGGCTGCTTCTGTGCTGCTAGAACCACTTGTGCTGGGAAGAGACCAGGCATTAGCTATCCTGAGGGCTGCTTTGTCCCACTGACCTGAATTGATGATAAGTGACAGTGCAGAAACTGAAGCTGACTTTGGCACTCTGCCACTGGAAGACATTGGGTGCTTCCCTGAAGCATCCTTGTGGCCCCCACCTCGATGACTGCTCTCACGGTCCAGACCTCGTGAGGTAGAGCTCTTAGTACCTGTGCTGTTGCTCCTGAGACGGACACGGTTCAAGCTGGCCAAGTCAGCTAGAAGGAAAGGTAAGGGTCTTTTAGCATCCTGTAGCTCTGGGATAGGGCACTTGTTTGAATTCAGAAGATCCCAAGTTCCATCCTTCTCATTTCCATGTAGGGTTGGAGAAGATCCTTCTGAAACCTTGGAGAGCCACTACCAGTCACTGTAGACCAGTGTTTCTCAACCCTGGCAACTTTAAGCTATGTGGACTTCAACTCCCAGAATTCCACATAGCTTAAAGTTGCCAAGGTTCAGAAACATTGCTGTAGACAATTGCAAGTTTGATGGACCAAAGATCTGAGTTAGTATCTGGGTTAACACAGCATGCTAAATCCTAAACCCAGCTTTACCCAGCACAATTCCTGTATTCATGTAACAAACCGTCCTCAAACAAACAATTATAACATGTGTGTAATGGCCTGATTCTCCCAAAATGCCAGTCTAGTATACAATGGAGTTGGGTTGTTTGTGATTCAGCATGCTGTGGGAACCAGGCCATCGCATAGGGGTGTCATGTTAAGCCATCAGAATGGCACGGCTGCAGTTTATTTGTGTGGGTATAGAATGTTATATGAAAATGGAAATTATGTTTGGTTAATCCAGGTTGATGATTTAGTATATTACGTGAACCCTGCCAATTGAAGGCAGAATCCTGCATTTCCCCATGTTTATCCTGGCCCTATTTTTCCTCTCTTCTCTCCATTGTATCTGACCTTTGGGGCACAGAAAAGTTCTCTCATTCCTTGCAAAGTGCCAACTACTCTTTCATTAAATAAATTAAACAACTAAATTCAGTAACCCAACAGAAACGCCATGTTCAAAAGCAGTCTATCCACACATACAAGTAGTGGGAGATAAAGGACAGGCCTGCTTGCAACGTTATTGGCTGCCATCAAATACAAGTCTAAACTTGGCAGATGCCACTGCCGCTGTGAACATGACCCAAAATACTGCCCAGAGGTATATCTTGCACTCACCCGCCAGTGCTGAGCCCTTGCTGGGTGCTCTTGGTGCTGCCGCCTCACAATCCCCGACGACAAACACCGGGCGCTCCTTTTTGGCAGCCCCCCGGCAGGGGCTCTCGTCTTCAGAGGAGAAGGCACACCTGGGCATTGCCTCCAGGCTGCAGGTGCTACTCAAGATGGCCGGGCTGCGGCTGAATTCTTGACGGAAGGAGTGGACTGTGGAGCCACAGGAGGTCCAGGCACGAAGCCTGCGTGAGAGACAGGAAGCAGTTATCTGCGGGGGGGACAACGCGAGGCTCTTCTGGGCAAAGCAAACAATTCGGCTATGAGGGATAATCCACTACTTTCTTTTCCAGTTCAGAGCCTGATGGAGTTTAAGAAGAAGGCAAATTCCAAGTCCTTGTTTTTTCATCTCAGGGAAGGGATTAACTAATTAGTAACACTGTTCAGTGTGAAATGGCATAAATTGGGAATGAATAGGCGTTAGGAATGAATAAAGAACAGTGAGTGTCCCATCCCATTACAGGCGTTCATTAATTCAACAATGCCAGGATGATTTTCGCAACCGCAAATTGCTACTGGGGTGAATGCTCATTGTACTCATGGATAAACATTTGGGATTTAGTCTCATTGTCACAGACCATACTCTTCCATTCCATAACTCCTTCACACTTTGTTAAATCATACTTCTCCTCTATATTTAGGAATCTTTCTACCTGCCAACTAAGATGAGCAAGACTTGCTTTTGGCTTCCAACTAATTACATGGACCGGGGCATTTGCAGGTTGGGGGTGGATTGAAAAAGTTGGTGGCTTCAATTGCATGGTTGCAGCCATCGTCTTAACTTTTTTGTTGTTCCCTTCCCTTCCCCGCTAGCAGACACTAGTCCTCTGGAAATTAATTGTTAGTTAATTTATTTTAGTTCTATTCCAACGCTCTTCTAATATTAGGATCTCGAAGAAGTATCTAACAGCCCCTCTCCTATCCAAGATTGTAGCTCATTCAGAATAATTCAGTGAACTTCAAAGCTGAGTAAAGGCTTGAATGTGTCTCTTCCCAGTCCTACCTTCCGGCTGCTGCAGCACACAGAATTCACAGCAATCTACAAACACTGCAAGATGAACCATGAACAGAGTGACAAAGTCTGAACACACTTCCCCCTTTGCCTCTTTTAGTGCCAAAACTAAGCTTGCCCTTTGGGATGCTAAAGGAAGCCAAAGAAACTCAGGAAGTTCCCCAAGATGTCCAAAGTCTTGATGTCACCCCATTTCTGAAAAGGCCAGCTGTGCCCCTGCCTGCTCACCTGGTCTCAGTCTTAGGTAGCCGGCTCTTCTCCTCATCTCCAGAGCTATGATCTCCCCGCTCTACTCTGTCTTCCTTGTCCTCGCCGTGGCCCTGCTCAGAGGATGTGAAGTTGAGGGTGGAGGGGTTGGCCAGATATTCACAGCTGCTGTAAACCTGGGAAACAGGGCATGGGGGGGCGGAAATCAGTTGGATAGAGGGCATGCTTATCCTAAGATGCACAACCAGCAAGAATAGTTTTGCAGCCCTATGTTCACCAGCAATGTAGCCAGAAACTCTCCGGCAAACCTCCCCCGAGGAAGCCCTTTCCCAACCTTGCTGAAACGATGGGAGCAGGAAGAAAACTGACGAATCTCTACACAGGACTCCTCATCGTTGGTTTTCTCATCATCGGAGCCCAAGTGCCGATAGCGCTCTGAGCGAGCTGGGAGGAAAGACAAGGTTGGGGAAAAGGAATTCAGACCTCTACCAAATCTGCCCCATTTAGGAGCTGCTATGGGTGTATGATGGCCTTCTTCAACTCCGCAGTCTCTAGATGCATTGTGGCTCTAATACCCAGAATCCCCTAGCCAGCCAACCTTCAGTTATGCTATTTGGAAATTATGGGAATGTCAATCTAGAGAGCACCAAGTTGCAGAAGACCGTTGCACGCAGTGAAACGGTCCAATCTGCAGCCCCCGTCCCCATCTTTCAGGGTACTTTTGGGGGGCCCACTGAGATTGTCTGCATCCGAAATTCAGGCTTGCAATTCTGCCGTCCAACCACTACAGCCCTTCCCATCCTTTCTCTCGTCATCTGGGATGCCTTACTGTCAAAGTAACTGGTGTCATCTTCAGCCTCCAGCTGTGGGATAAATTCAGCTTTCTGCCGCAACAGCCCATTCCAATCCAGATGGCGGAAGAAGGCATGGTGCTTCACCTCATGCGCGCCTCCTAGAGGTTGAGATGGGAGAGGAGAGGTCCTAGCATTGACAGCTGGCCACGGGCTGGGGAGCCACAACACCTCTACTTGCACCCTCCCAATCGCTTCAGGTACTGACACTGCTGTGATACCTGTGCCCAGCCGCTCCAGAGGGCAGTGACGCAGGAGTTGTGTGATCAAATCTTGGGCATCAGCAGGAAGAGCTTCATCCCCTTCAGGCCAAATGATTTCATCTGGAATTAAGGAAGTAAAACCAAAGCAGTTTTGGAGGGGGCTCTTTGCTGCCCTATTGCCCCCACCCCAAAACCTTTCAAAAACTTTGAGGAAACAAGGAGATGGGACAAAAATATTAGAGAAATTCAAGGAAGAAGACGACAATGTCTCAAAAGCTGTATCATGTGGCCTGAGTGGAACCACCATGTATAGAGGCAGAAAGATCATCACAAAAGAGAAACTCCTGTTTGGACAACCTTTCCTTCCTTGATGTTTACCTTCTCAGAATTTAGACTGTCTCATGAGCGGGTGGGGGGGGACTCTCTTTTTTGGTAGATGTAAGGTTGGAAAAGTATGAGCATGCAGATGTATGTACTTTAACTCACAGATACACAAAGTTCCACTCTCAATGCTTAGCCTACCATAAAATATGGAATATCTCTAATAAAGTATGTCTTATGAATAATAAATGAATAAATAAATAAAGAGTAAACTTTACGATGGCTGGTGTGGGTCTTCCGGGCTGTGTGGCCGTGGTCTTGAAGTTTTGTTTCCTAACGTTTCGCCAGCACCTGTGACCGGCATCTTCAGAGTGCAGGAGCACAGACAGGAGCAGTTCTCTCTGTGCTCAGGGTGAAGTGACCCTTTTGTGGGTATTTATAGAGATCTGGGGGGAGGAAGGGGGGGATGGGTGTGTGTGGGTGGGGTGGGGTTACTGAGTGGCTGCTTGTTTTGGTGTCAGCATCTGTGTGTATCTTCCTGGGGATTAGGCAGGGTTTTTTCTTCTACTGAATTGTTAATGAGGGGCTGCTGGGAAGACCCACAGCCCGGAAGACCCACACCAGCCATCGTATGCTGGCCGTGAAAGCCTTCGACAATACAGTAAACTTTACTCTGGGGTTACTGAGTGGCTGCTTGTTTTGGTGTCAGCATCTGTGTGTATCTTCCTGGGGATTAGGCAGGGTTTTTTCTTCTACTGAATTGTTAATGAGGGGCTGCTGGGAAGACCCACAGCCCGGAAGACCCACACCAGCCATCGTATGCTGGCCGTGAAAGCCTTCGACAATACAGTAAACTTTACTCTTACTTTTCCTTGAGATCAGCCATGCTAGCCAGGAATTCAGGAGATCCCAAACCCTGAATAAATCTCTTTAAATTCCAACTCTGACACACAATTTTACTTTTCAGGGTGTTAAAGGAATCATTTTGGATTTTAACATGACATGGTGATGTATTACCAGCCCAGAGGAACAGCAGCAGGCATACTGGTGGATCAAGGAGAGACTCTAAAAACCTTTCCCTGCTTAATGGACCTCCTTTGCTTACATCATTTTTCAAGGGTCCTTATAAGCCACATAAGTCCACTGACAACGTTGGGTACTCCAGCAGATGGTGGTGGCAGTTATGAGCTACCAGGAAATTTGATTTGTTGTTGGGAATGTCTTGGAGCACCAGTAGTGAGAGAGCAGGATACCCATGTTGCAAGCCCTCCGCACCCCAAATAAAAGAACAAGTTGATCTGCATTTTGCTCACCATGATGTAATGTAACACAAATATGTCTTAATTTCTCAATCAAATCAACATGTCTCTGCTATTAGAGTTGGAATACAGAGTTAGTCAAGATGCAGCTGGAGCCCAAAAGCTAGAAGTGATCTCTGCTTCTGCTAGGATCTGCTTCTGTCAGCCCTTCAAGGTAGACTAGACTTGAACACCAGAGTCATGAATACTAAAACTACATTTATTATCGGGTTACAATAACAGAATTTTGCAACTCTGAATGTGCCTCCCTCCCTGCCTTTATCCTAAAGAGAATTAGAGAGGATCAAGTCTGAGATGTTTCCTCAAATTACATTCCTGCTTTGGACTCAGATTTCTCTTATCTGATTGTTGCCTTGATTGCAATTCTTCTTCCTGCTCAAGATTATTCTCACAGCCCATTACATCTTCTCGAGCAAGAAAACAGCAGGCTATGGGCCTTTCCTCACTTGCAGCTCACCACAGCACAAAAATGCCGTGACATCTTTTTTCCACCACGTCCCCTATACTGTTGCCCTCACGTTATCTTCAGCCCATGAAGGAGACAGCCTTAAGTTATGTGAAAAATCTGTGCTGCTCATTCCAACAGTAACAGTTTGGCATGTAAAACACATTTCCAATTAGGGGTGGGGGTGGGGACTGTTTTCTTCCTTTCACAAACTGGCAGGGGCTTCCTTCTGTGTGGTTCTCCAGTTTTGACTATCGGAAGGGTGCAGAAGGGGCAGCAACATGAGTTTGCATTTCGGTGGAAGCTTCTGCTGCTTGTGAAAAACTGGCACAGGGATGCTATTTGCATAGTTGCGTAAGAGCACTAGAATTCTGCCTTCCTGATTTACTGCGCTCTTGGTATCTTGGGGGAAATACAGTGTGTGAGAGAAAGACAACCCCTTCATCACCCTGTTCACTTCCCAGAGTTTCATCTTTATCAATGGAAATGGTAGAGAAGCTCACTGTTATCAGCCCCACCCCTATTCCCTCATCTCTACTGTGATTGGTGGAAAATGTCCTGTTGATGCTCAGAGTCACTTTTGCTTAACATATTCTGAAGGTGCCTAACCAGGACATTGCTTTTCAACAGTGTGTCAGGACAGACGCAAGAGAACCAGAAGGGGGATCAGCAAAGCGGCAAATTTCACGCTGGCAGAGTTTTCTTTCCGTTCAAGGACAGGCAGAGAGCACTTCAACCCAGCCCAGAGGAAAGGCCCCATGAAATGGGAAGGCAACACCCACTCTGCCATCTCCAGGAACACACCACATGCTGAGTGAAGGTCACTTTTGTCATGTCCAGTTCACTGAGTTTATCTAGTGGATTTCTCAAAGGTTCTTTTGTTCAGACACCGCTCTCTGCCAGGCAACTGGGAATGGCACTGGCTTGACTTCTGCAATAAACGGGGCCCTTATTGCTTCTGCACTGAGGCAAAGCTCAGAATTTCTCTAGCCCTGTATTTCCGCCCCCCCCCCCACCTTCCTTAAGGAAAAGCAAACCTACCGCTGATCACCTGCCCAAAGAGTTCCTCTGGGGTGTCGCCAAAGAATGGGACGCAGCCTACCAGGAACTCATAGAGTATGATTCCCATGGCCCACCAGTCCACTGGCTTGCCATACCCTTGGATCAGGATTACTTCTGGAGCAATATACTCAGGAGTACCACAGACCTGCAAAGAGACGGAAAACAGAATTCCCCTGTTTCTGTGAACAAGGAGGTATCTCCTTAGGGACGGATGGGGTCACTGTCTCCCCTTTAACTCCAGAAAGGGCAGAATCAAGAGAGTGAGGATGCCTCCAGATGGCAGCAGAGGCTCCTGAGGTTCGGGGGCCCTTTCCTTTGTACACAGCAAAACAAGCCAGCAGATTTCATTAGAAGACGTGCATGCGCTTTGCCATAAACACCACACCTGCTTATCTACAAACTCTCGTGTGTCCTTCTCAATGTGACCCTCATAGAGATTTGTGGTCATGTTCATCAAGCCAATCTTGGACAGGCCAAAGTCGGTCAGCTTGATGTGGCCCATAGATGTGATGAGCAAGCTGCCAAGAAAAAGAAATGGAGGGAGCTTGAACCATGAAAGGAATCAGCCAGGAAGCTCAAAACCTATAATGTATTTAGCCAGTTGGGATACTAGCATCTAATGCTGACAGTACAATACAAGTCTACTTAGTTTTTTGTCACCCATGTCATAGATGTTAGCCAGTAGGTGCTCATGCTCAGACAACTCATACAGCCAGATCAGCACTCCAGACTATGGCAGGCAAACTTGTTAGAAGAAAATTTGGACTCCCTAACAAAAATTATTGGAGTAAATGCATGCCCCCCTCCCTCACCTCCCTGCATCTCACAATCTAACTCATACCCCACCCTCACTTGTCTGGTTTGAGGTCCCGGTGAACAATGCCATAATTGTGGAGGTATTCAAGGGCCAGGACCGTCTCAGCAAAATACATCCGGGCCATGTCCACAGGCAGAGGTCCCATGTTCTTCAGCAGTGTGGCACAATCCCCACCTAAAGAAGACAGAACGTCCGAGAGTCCACTTCTTGCAAAACACCAGGGATGGGCTACCACATCTGACAAGCCCAGCTTTGATTATTTGACATCTAAACTTTTTTCCTCTTGCCAGGCTGACTAACTATCCTTTAGGTACCAAGTAAACATATTTTAGTTGGTTTTGCCTTTTATGTTGGTTTTTTAAAATCTCTTCACCAAACTGCTTGTTTTAATGGCATTACTGTTTATTGTCCAAGATAGCAATCATGCAATGTTCTTAAATAGATTTCAGTGCTTTTTTTTTTAATTTTAAAATGGAAAACATTTCACGTATGCTTTTTAAAAGTATCTTGCAGAAATCAAAGAGAGAGCCTTTCGCCCTCCTCCCCGCCCTTAGAAAAGCCAAAAGTACTTCCCAAATATATTTGGCAACACTTCACTCTTTATTTACTTTATTTAGCTTTCCAAAAGAAGGTTTTTAAAGTCTCTGGCAGAGATTTCTTTGGCAGAGACCACTAGGAAAACTTTAAGATCAAGAAGCAGATTTTAGGCAAACTGATGAGGGTTTGGGGAAGGAGGACATAAAAAGTCAAGCACATCAAAATCCCATTCCACAACCATGAGAAGATCCAACACAAAGTCTATCACGCCAATGATGCTTCTGAGACCTTGGCAGGCATCACACAACATATTTTGCAGACTTCCTTTGGCAGCTGTTTGGCAGGGATATAAATGTTGCTTTTCAAAGTTTGCCAATCTCTGGATTCCAAACAGTGTAGCATTTCAGGAATTTAGTGCATACAATAAGAAACCACAGAACTGTGGAATGCTTGCTGCTCTTCTGAAAACTGATGTTAAATTCAAGTCAAAGCCAGACTTTGCCAGGATGAAATTCTTTCTCTTTGGAGCAATAAACACTTCAAACCACCTGATACCAAGTCAAACCACTGATGTATCTAGCCCATGATTGCCTCCACTAACTGACATCAGTAATCCATCAATAGAAAAAAGCCTCTTCCAGCTTTTGCCACCCATGATCCCTTGACTAGAGATGCTGCCTTAGACAGACCTGGAGTCTTTTCCATGCATAGCAGCTGCTCCTTCAATGACCTGGACTCCAGTTCCTGGAGTCCTTTGTTGCCAGGTTTCTGGCACATCTCCACCCACTCCCACCAGATATGTCCTTCCTGCAGCCTCACCTTCCACATACTCCATGACCATGCAGAGGTGACATCTGGTTTCGAAGGAGCAGAACATGCTGACCACAAAAGGATTCTCAGCAAAAGTCAGGATATCACGCTCCACAAAGACCTGCTGGATCTGGTTCCGCAGCACCAGGTTCTGCTTGTTAATCTTTTTGATGGCAAAACGTTGGCGAGTCTCCTTGTGCCGCACCAGATACACAGCCCTAAAGGAACATGAGAGCTATTGGGGAGCTGGGGAAGAATGAAGCACCTGATGTTTTTCCCCCATTGTTTAATCCTCTTGGCAACTCATTGATGTGGATGAGGCTGATAGTGATTGTCCTAGTTCACCATATCCATAATGACGCCTCTGCATTAATGTGAGTACATTTTTTTTTTACACTAGATACACCTGAGCCAAAGTTGTAGAGGGGAAAGTCACCTAACCCTCTCACTAGTACAATTCTTTGCCCTCTTTTTTCCACAAACAATGTCTAACAGTTTGGGTCTTGCAGCAAAAGATGAAGACCATAATTTGAGGAGCCCACTCACCCGTAAGCACCATTGCTGATTAACTTGATAGTTTCAAAATCGCTTTCACAGGGTTTCCTCCGAGAAATGGGGGCAGAGGACTGGTTTTGCAAGAGAGAGGGAAAGAGAAGGGGAATACATATTACTCTTTCTTTAGATTCTTTTTTTTATCTCGCCTTTCTTATTTTTATAAATAACTCAAGGCAAAGAATATACCTAATACTCCTCCCTCCTCCTATTTTCCCTGCAACAACAACCCTGTGAGGTGAGTTGGGCTGAGAGAGAGGGACTGGCCCAAAGTCATCCATCCAGCTTTCATGCCTAAGGCTAGAACTCACAATCTCCTGGTTTCTGGTGCCTGAACCACTAGATCAAACTGGCTCTTGCAGTCTGCGGAAAGAATGGCATCTACTGAGTTATTAACAAGATTTGTTGTTTGCTTTTCTGAAATAAGTAGCATAAAAAATGATAGAATCTATAGGAAAAAAAAACCTCATGTAGCATAGTATGGTGGAAGGACAAAAGAGTTAACTGGGAGACTAAAAACATATCACAGAGCAGAACTTATCTCACGGGGGGGGGGGGATTAGAGCCAGTCTGGGGACCAAATCCAGCTTCCCACCAGCCCTAGGCAGCAGAATGATCTCAGAGAAGATCTTACTATTAATAATATTTCAATGAATGATTACCGAAATGTTTTAAATGATGATGAAGAATATTTTGGAAATAGGTGCCACACTTCACCTGGCAAGCTGGACTGGATATTGATTAACAGGCATTTAAGGATACCCGAATGATAAGTAGATTTATTGTAGAAAAGCTAAAGAAGCATTATGAAATAATTCCAATGACTACTGCATATCAAATACAAGCCCTATTTATACTGAAATCAAAGTTCAACGTCCTGTGCCTCTTTTTCCCCACCCACATGACGTCATGGGCCAGAAGCCACTTTCTTGGGTGGAGTGATTGTTCCCATGTCTCTTGTTTTGATAACAGACTGATCTGGTATTAGGATGTTTGCTTGTGACAATGTGAGCCCTTAATGTTAACTACATTGGGGTTTTTTTTCATGAGAAAAGAAAAACAGTAAATTAACAGTAAATGAAAGTGAAATAAAATGTTAACCTTGAATACATCTTCAGGAGTTTCAGTCTAGAGCAGTGTTTTTTAACCTTGGCAACTTTTCAGCTCCCAGGATTCCCCAGCCATCATGCTGGCTGGGGAATTCTGGGAGTTGATGTCGACATATCTTAAAGATTGAGAAACACAGCTCTAGAGGAATGCCTTGCAACAGGCTAGAAAGGGAAGGGGAATATAGTCTTACCTCAGGAGGTTCATCTTGCTGCTCTGGTCCTGCAGGGGAAGGGCAGTCAACTTGATCAAACTGAACAATTTCTGGGGAAGGAAGAGAAACTGAAACTGAAACCAATGACAAATAAGTGAATTGATCTGATTCCCACCTGCATTCCCCCGTTAATGGTCTTCCTTACGCTGGCCACAAAAATCTTGCCTTCTCTGATTGGCAGAGGTCTTTCCATTATCTGTGATTTAGATCAAGTTTAAACTAGAGATGCTGTCTGCAACAGAGCCCAAGTGATGCATGCAAAGCAGATACTTTATCGCTGAGCTACTTATTTAATCCAATTTTTATATACTGCTGTGCTCCAAAAAAATAATTCCAAATGATTTACAGATAAATACAGCATAGCCCTGTTCAAACTAGGAAACCTTTTTTCCTCACCCTCCAGAGGGTCTTTGGCGAGTCCCAGCTGACTGATGATATAACGTGGAATGTCTGTTTTGATTCCTTGTCCCACCTTTGCATGACCTTCAGCGGCCTCCAGGAGGTGATAGAACTCCTCAGGGTCAAACTCCTGCAAGTGGAAGAGGGAGAAGGAAATATAAAAAGAGGTGGAGAAAATATAAAAAGTGAGATTCTGAGATTTGCCAACTAAATCTTCAAAATGATAAGGCTTAGCAATTTAATTCAATTAAAAATAAATGAAATTAAACAAAAGTCTTCCTCAGCCACAAACTAAAGGCTATAGAGATGAATTGGCCTAAAATAAATAACGACAGCTCTCCTTTTTTGCCTGGACTTCTCACATTTAGGGACTATAACAATCCAGGATGACTCCTTTTCATGAAACCCCCATTTACTGTGAAATCTAGTCTGTAATAATGTCATGCAGTCTGAGAAGAACAAATCATTTTTTCTCTTGCACTCAAGTTCTGGGATGCAGAGCCAAGAAGGAACAATGCCACAGCACAGGAAGCAACAGCTTCCTTGGCTCAGGAATCAGAAGACAAAAGCTTATCTATAAATACCAAAGATTAAAGTTTCTCTGTCCCTGCTGCATAAGCCCTGCCCAAAACCATCACTCATCTCAAACTCTGAGCCATCTGGGAAACTCAAGCTATCATCTCCTGGTGCCATCACAAGAAACAGAGGCATTTTCAGCTCCAAGAAAGCTTCCATTCCCATATTTCAGGCTATCTGTTTGTACTTATGCACTGGCCCCAGTGAATTCTCACCAAGGATCCATCCTGCACACACTGTCTTCCAAAGACTGCCAGCAGAAACAAGCATCCAAAAGTAGACATGAAGGCTTCATTAGCTATTATTGTTAATAGCCAGTGATAGCCTCTCCATCTCAGTGAATATGTTTAATCCTTTTTACTAAAAAAGTAAAATAAAATAAAACTAAGAAAAGCCTAGGTTGGATCAAACTAAGAAGATGATGCATCTAAATTTAGCCCTCTGATTGAAGAATGGTTAGCCAGAGTATGTTGATTCAGGAAGGGTAACGGGTGCCCAAAATTTAAATTTTAGAAAAATGGCTGAAATCACACATGGTTTTGGAGATCTTGTGAGGATTGCTGAGATTTTGCAGTATTTTTTGTGATAATGCTAGTATCCTGTGAGATTTGGTAACCTTGCAAATTAATTTTAGCTCAGTTTCAGAGGCCTCCAGGAACTGTTTTAGGGTGCAAGGGACATGCTGGCAACAGAGGGGGCTTGTATTCCCAAATCCTGGAATAGGTCTATCAAGTCACCATGAAGTCTGTGTCGCTCTTCCAGCTTCATAGTAGTGAATCATGGTTGCAGTAAGACAAGGAAAGGAAGGTTGTTGCCTTTCTGACCTGCTTGTAACCTTCTAGGGGGATCTGGCTGGCCATTGTAGAATGATGGATTACACAGATCTTTGATCTGATCCAAAAGGACCAAGAGGAAGCTTCAGCTTACATTCACCCTCTGCCTTACCATTTGGCTTACAGCTCAAGCCAGACTCATGTAGCCACATCTACTGTTCCACAGAGAGCTCCATGGGGGCTTCGGAGGAAAAGTTATCTCTCAGGATTGTTCTTACTCCAGATGATGATGGCAATCCTGTAACCCTTTGTCCCTTTCCAGCCAGCTTAGTCTGGGCATAGCAGACATGTCAGCTCCATCCTTACCAAGCACTCTAGCAGCCGAGCTGGCCGGGAAATGATGATCAGTAATTTGCGGACCAGCTGTTCAATGAAGTGCAGCTCCTCGCTCTCAGAGCGCTCCTGAGCCTGGCAGAAAGTGTGATGGAGAACTCATGAGCATTATTGAGAAAGGCTCACTAGAGAAGTCTGGGTGGATGGGGAAGCAAAACAGATACTCACATCTCTTAGCATTTTCTCCAGCTTCTCCTGCAGTTCAATGAAATAGCGGGAGGTAATGAGAGCCCCTTGGGACTTGTTGAGGCAGTCACGGGCCAGTTCAATGATCTGGTGATGGATGAATCCCAGAACACCATCAGCCAAAGGCAGAATGCTACTGGGTGAGAAAGTGGCAATTGTCTCTGCCAGGCGTTCTTCCATCTGGGCAGTGGCCTTTGAAGGAAGGGAAAAGGGGAGAAAAGCAGGTGGTGACCATGGGATCCAGAAGCTTCACCTGGGAACCATACTCAATTTTCAGTGTTAAGATGACTCAGTCTCAGAAGAACTAAAAGGCTCATGATTATAAAATCTCTGCTCTATCTTCTGTTTCTCCTGCATTCTTCCAACATTCATGCAAGCTACTTGTAAAAATAAACATGAACTGCAAGAGAAGGGAATGAAGTTCCAAACTGCTCCTACTGAAACTTGATGCCAGTGGCACCAAAAGTCTTTCCTTTGGAGATTTCTCATTCACCTCTCTCTCATTAAAACATGCTTTATTCCAACAAGGTTATGGTTCTTAAATTTCTAAAAAAGATAAAGCTCCAGCACAGAAAAAGAGGTGAAAGCTATCAAAGCACAGTACTATGATTATTGTACCCAATGCTTTTTAAATATAATTCATTCCCCTTCGTTTAGATAGGATGTGGAGCCAAAGACACAGTGTTGGATCTGGACTTTAGCAGGATTTACAGATTATACTAAGCTAACCCTATGAGTCTATGATTCATTAATTCTAAGAGATAAAAGATAATTCCTTTGCTCAGTTCTTAATAGCTCCTTACCTTTGGGAATCTTTCCTTGTATACATGATTCATCATTACAACCTCATTGTCAAAAGTCCCACTTGTCCGCCCAGGGCTGTGAGAAGAAAAAGAGGCAACTGCTGAGGACATGTGCTAAGAACTCAAGCAAGCCAGAAACAAGGAAGTGGAAGGGAGCTTTGACAGTGCTCAAGATCTCACGTTTCCCAAAATTTTCTTGCTCTAGCATGGTTCTCATCCCTCCAGAATATGTTAGGGCTGCAGACTGACAAACTAGCTAATAAGTATGGAGTCTTTGGTGCTCTCTGACCTTGGTTGTTTGTTTGCAGACATTTCATTACCCAACTAGGTAACATCATCAGTGCTAGTGAGTGTGGGGTTTGCTGCCTGTTTATATACAATAGCTTGCCCTGCCAGTGTTGGTGGACAACAAAATTGTCTCAAAAGAGACAATAAAAAAGCTAAGAAGGAAACAAAAAGACCAGAACACATCCTCTCCAGCAACCAACACCTGGATCAGCAAGGATTAACATCAGACAAACAATCAAGCAGAAAACAATAACCTAATCAAGGAACTACCAAGGAGAAAACCACATCCCTACCAACACTGGCAGGGCAAGCTACTGTATATAAGCAGGGAGCAAACCCCACACTCACCAGCACTGATGATGTTACTTAGTCAGGTAATGAAACGTCTGCAAGAAAACAGCCAAGCTCGGAGAACACCAAACACTCCACAGTTCAATCCTGAGCTACAAATATTTTCTTCAGTTAACTAATAAGTGGGAGAACTTTTATGTAATAAATCAGCCGTCACTTAGGCCTTAAACTGTTCTTAAACCATTGCAATCAGGAGGAAGAGAAAACAGTGTTATCTGAATTGCTTCCTCCCTCCCTAAATTGCCCTCCAATGGCTGAGCATTGGACTCTGGCCAAGGCATGATTAATATCATACTAAAAGGGACCCAAGGATAATTCTTCCAAATAGATGTGACTTACGGTTGTTCAAACACCAGGGTTGCTGTTAATTAGAGAAGACAGTTCTGGATTATAAGAAGTGGAAGGCAGCTACTAGAGCATTTGTTCTGCATGAAAAACATTCCTGATTCAATCTCTGGTAAAATGAGGCAGGCAAGGTGAGAACCGGTACTTCCCAAGCCAGAGACACCCATCATACAAATATAAAACTACCACTCAGCTTCCAGGCTACCAAGCACTATGCCATTACATAAGAATTCCAGCAACTGCTGGGTATCAAATGCTGTATCTGTATTGAAATCCAGGTTCAGATGCTTGCACCTCCTCTTTTTTGGACAAGAACAACAGTTTCCACCTGTCTCTTATTTTGAGAGGAAGACAGGAAGAGCCTCAAGTTTAAATACCAGAGACTATGCCTCCGACATCTTTGCACTAGCAGCGGGCAATCCACTAGAGGTAAGGCTTTATTCTTGTCTAAGAGATTCTAATCTAGCCCAGCCTTGTCTCAGAGTCTTCAGACAAGTCAAGCGGAGGAGTCCAGTTATGCCATGAATTGCCAAATCTGTGATTTATTGCTCAGTCTAGGTGAGGAACCCTAACAGACAGTGTCTCCAATTTTAAAAAATCTTAGGCAGCAAACGATGAGGAGAGGATTGTTCTCTTTCTGATACACTGGGTTAAGAAAGAAAAAAGTGCACTCCAGGGTAGGTCCAAAAATGTGCCCCCCTTTTTAAAAATAATTCAGGGTTAGGGGGCTAAGGTGCAAAATGGGTGCCATGTAAGGGGCAAAATGGGTGTAAAACATTTTAGATGTTTGAGAAGAATGGATACGTACTCCTGTTTAATTCCTTCATGTGCGATCCACTTAATACAAGCTTCCCCTTAATACAATACTTTCACCTGATGCTTCATGTTGAACTATCTAAAGAAGAGACACCCATCCAAAGCCAGTAATACCTCAAGCTGCGGGACCGAGGACGAAAATATGGTGAGTGGCGTCCATCTTCTCCTGGAACGCTCTCAGTGCTCCGGAAGTGCTTTGAAAGGAAGTGCAGTTCATCAGGCGTGGGTTGGTAGGGCAGTTGGTGGAGACGCTCCTGAGAGGAGGAAGATGATGACTGGACAAGAGAAAGAGAAAAAGATGGTAGCCCGGCATGAGGCGGAAAGTGAGTAACCCTTATTCTGACACACCATCATGGAATATTTTAAGATCTGTTGAGGAACCAGCTGCCTCAGAATAAACTGACAGCTGGAAAGACTGAGGGGAGCTGTGGAATTTAAGAAAAGCCACTTTCCCAGTTTAGCTCCTCCTATGTTAACTCTGGGCCACTATCAAATTCACATACTTCCAAGTCTTAGTTTCTACAGGGCCTCTTTATCTCAACCACCAGCACTTCTGTAAGCAACTCCTAGGCCTCTCCCAATATCCTCTGAGCCTGACTGTGTCTTTTTAAAAAGCCATTGAGAGGTTGAGTTTCAAGATTGGGCCTCTATTCACCTCCCAAGCTGCAGAACCAAGTTTTCCTTGGTGTTACATGTTTAGCCATACTTTGATGCTGATAAGTTGATACATTTCTATTCCACACCTTTCCATCAAAGAAAATACTTGAGACAGCTTGAGACATCAAAGATGAGAACAATCCAAGAGCATCTTTGTTCATTAAAAAATTCTAGCAAACCCAACTGGTTAATTCCCACCTTAGAAAAGTAGGTGTGAAATGAATATTTCCAGGAGGAACAAGATGGAAAAGAGTTTTTTGTTAGATGCCATTCACCCCATCTCCAAAGAAGGGTTGGTCTTAAGGGACCATGTAGCTTACACTTTCCCAGACTGGTGCTTTCTAAAAGGGCTGCAGTGATAATTCTTAGAATTCCTAGACATCTAGGCCTCAGACTAGGAGAAGCCCATCTGGCTCATTTTAGCACAGAATCTGCCTATAACAAGATGCTGGACTTGCTCCACACTATTTACCGAAACAGTAGAGCTGGGGGTGTTAGTCCCATAGCCGGATGAAGGCAATGAAGCCAGTGACCACCTTCGGCCGTCAGCCCTGCAAAAACAGAGGTAAATATTAAGGCACAAAGGTGGACAAACTCTTGGAGGACTGAGGACCGGTGTCCAAATCCATAAATGTACTGTCAAGCTGGCGGAAACAATGGGGAAAGACTAAAATGACCGCTAGAATATCATCTACAACACTGGTGGAGGGACAGAGGGAGGGAAGGGAAAATATCTTTTTCCCTATATAGCAGCAAGGCCCCTCTCTGTCCCCATAACTCCTCTCCTTCAAACTCTGACAAAATGGATCATATATTCCAGATCAAGCAGTGATTCTTTGGGTGAAACCCAACTCTTTGAATGAGTGTGGTATTTCTAACTACAGGCTGACCTCTTCTCCCCAAACTGCTAAACTAGCAATGCTAGGGTAAGAGGAATCATCTTCCATCACCTGACTTGCCCTACAGTTCCGCATTTTGTCTCCTTGGTAGCTTCTTTAAAGATAGTTAAAAACAAGACAACAGGTCTTCCAGCATATTTCATGCTGTTTGGCCCTACATACCGGGCAGACCTCTTTGAGGGAAGTGAAGATGGCTGCCAGGATGGCTGGAACAATTTTCCAACTCCCATCCCATAATGTTGAGACTGCCTTTCTGGTTCTTTGATTGGCAGGGCTAGAGAATTATGAGAATTCTCTCTTCAACCAAGCCTAAACATTGGGCTGCTTTTCAGGATTTCAGTCAGAAATGCCCAGTTCTGAAGGGTAAATCCTTTATTTGATAACTGCAAAATGTCTGTTCTCTATAGAACTCCCAACAACAGAACAGCAGCAAATATTCTAATCAGGAGAACCAAAATTACGGATTTATTTTGCTCAGCAGTTAGGGAAACCAATGAAGTTTCATTTTCCTTTTCAAGTTATTTCTGGCCCAGCAGCCATGGCTCTATGATCTGCCACCTCCAAGCATGAAAATTGTTCTTCTTTTAACTTGGGGCAATGGGTTGTATTTAAATATAAACACCTTCTTTTCTCCCCAAAAAATCAAGGCAGGCACTGTTAACGGAGAGCCAGTCTGTCTGTTCTGAAAGGCCTGAGTGATGGTTTTCTTGTGGGTCATGATTCAGTGTGAAGTCTTTGTACCCAAAAGAAATAGTGGTCATCTTTTATTTTTCATTATCAACTGTATTTACAAGGCCACTCTATAACAAAGTACTTAGTAGAGCTCCTAACAAAATAGAACAACTGAATAGATTTAAGAATCCTACATGATTTCTTTCCACTGCTAAAGTTACCTGTCAGTTCGAGGAACATGGCTTTTTCCGAGGCATTGTTGGTCAAACAGGAGAAGTAGAAAAGCAAAAGGAAACAGGAAAAGAAAAGAGGGGTGGGGGGGAATGATAAACAATTAGGAACCACAGGAAAATGCCTTCCCCTGGGCCTGGGGGCATTCTTCCAACCCTCCCAGACTGAAATCAGAAATAGTTATACAGTATGTACTTTACTTAATTTGATTTTTAAAGAATCTCAAAATTCCTTGGCAAGCAAAAGAATGAAAGAATTACTTAGAATGAAAGAAAGGAGGCTGTAAAAGAGCAGAATGATATCACTGTGTAGGAGTCAACTACCATAATGCCTACACAGAGAAATGCACTCTGCATATGATCAGGGATATTTTCATTTTGATATGTGTGATGCAAGGCAAAACCCTTCATTAGAAATAGGCCTTTTCCTCCCAACACTCACAAGGTGATGATGCTTGGCAAGCCAGAAGACCTGTGGCTGACAAACTAAAAAGGGCTGCCAGTTTTTCTTTTCTGGGCTTCTTTACTTATTTTGCTATTATGTTTTGCTTTGCTTTTTTTTTTTTAAAAAAAAATCTTGATTACCTGGGAACCACCTTCAAAACACACTTTTTCTTAAAATACATTATATGGCTTGAAGGAACAAAAACTTGCTGACATTTACCAAGGCTGGATCTAAATCTGGAGAGGAGATCATCCTGTACAAATAGCTGTTTTGAGTTCCACCATGGCAAAAGAAAGGAGAGATGTAAAGTTTCTCTTCTAGGCAAAAATGGATGATGACCAAGGCTTTTAAGTAATAATAACATAAAAACCAGAAGTGAGTAAGTAAAGGACTCACTTTTCCCAATTGAGCGGACCTTTATTGATAGGACTTCTACTGCTTTCTCCCCACTGCCAAACCTTGTAGTGGAACCCTTTTTTCAGCCCAGATTCACTTCCATCCATCCTTCTCCTCCCCTGGTCTCAAGCAGCTTTTGCAGTCTCTTACAGCAGACTCCCTTGATTCCTTCTGCAAGCTCAGCCATGGTCAGCCACCAGGTGTGGTCACCTAAGAAGCTGTAGCATCTTACCTGCGAGCAAACGGAAAGCTGGCAGAGGCACCAGTGGAGAAGTTGCGAGGACTATCAACTGGACTGCTACTAGCTGCAGAGAGACAGAAGGGGATTGGATAGGGGCAGGACAGAAGAAAAAAACAACATGAACTTTCATTAAAATTTCAAAGGGTATGGAAGAAACCAAGAGGCCTTGAACACCACCCAAAAGGTTAAACTTGGGTAGGAATGGGTGCTTCAAGATCTATCCATCTTATACTCCTACTCTAGGAATTGTACTGACTGCTGGTCAGCTTCTGTGGGCAATTCTAGGTGCTGATTACCACTTTAAAGTCCTACATGGCTCAAGGCCTGATTATCTCCAAGACTGCCTACTCCAATGTGAATCTGCCATCCAGGTAGAACTTGGAGAGAGGTCACGTGAAGGTCCCATCCCCATGACAGTTCCACCTACAGGGAGCCTTCTCACTGGTGACACCCCCCTTGTGGAACAGCTTGCCCTGATTTAGAAGAACATTCCTCATATATAAGAACACTTTTTTATGGACACTCCCTCATGAGTGTCCATAAAAAAGTAAAAACATGGCTCTGGGAAAGACCATATGGGGGATGTTAGGTGTTGGTATCTACCCATGTTGCTCAGTGCCATTATAATGAATACTGTTGAATATTATTTTGTTATTTTTAATCTTCCGAGGTCCTTTTTCTATATATGCCACTATGAACCATTGGGAACTGAGTGGCGTAGAATTGCTAGTAAGTAAATGAATAAATAAATATTCTCCTCTTTTTTTAAAAGTGGTCAGTCTCTGATTCTATTGGATGCACCCACACATTCACTTCCTCTCTTGGTAAAATGCCCATCATTCAAGTCATCTCAAGAAGGGAGAGCATGAAGCAGAGGAGTCAAGTATCTCATGGAAAATCCATTTAAAATGATACAAGAGAATCTTTCACTAGGACTCTCTTTCCCACAACTTAGAATGCTGTACCAAGATATTCTTCACTACTTCAGAAGCATAAGCCCAGCCCACCATTTTCATGTCTTGTTAAAGATGTTCTTTCTCACTTACCCCAACAGAGAAGCTTTCATAACTTGATACGCTCTTACCTGTTGGCACGGAGAGGGGGGACAAAGGACGAGAGAGGGTAGGCGAAGGAGTCCCAACCACTAGACTCTTCCTGTTGTTGCTTCGGCAGCTGCAAAAGCAGAGAAACCGATGAGAGTATGCAGGGATAAGGTTTCATGGGCAGCAAACATCACCCAGAATTTTGGGCACCTGGAGTGAGGGGAAATCCTGAATATTATGGATATCAATCATATACTCATAACTTCCAAGGCTAATGGAAAATGGAACGAAAGTCTAAAAGCTATGATCATGATGATAACCACCTTGACAAGCAAAAACTGATTAAATACATAAACGCAACAGCTGCTTTTTTCAGTCAATTCAATAAAAATTAAGAGATAAGATCCTGGCACCAGGGTGGAAGCAAGCCTCTGTTCAATTTGTTGAAAGAAAACGAAGTGGGAAGTCTGCAGACACTGGCCATTGGCAGATAGAACAGAGAGCACTCTGTACCAGGGACTCACTGGTAGGGTTCACCCAACATGGGAAGCCTTAAATCTGGATTAACAACAGATAATTGCTGTGTTCTTATAATATGCTATACCCAACCATATTGCTGCTTAAGATGAGAGCCTGATTCTCACAATATGCAACAATGACATCTAGGTTCCCACAACATGTTGAACCACATCCTACCTAACCCAACTTCAGCTTAGCTTTGCGCACAACAAATCCAGCCACAAAAACTGTCTGGTTACGGCAGCGGCCACGTGGCCTGCTCTGGTCTTTCAACCCAGGTAGCGTGGAAGTGGCAGCATCTCCCTTGCTCACAAGATTATTTCAAAAATACTTTATTTTTAAGCTATACTTGGGCGGGGGAGGGGGGATCAATACCTGCCACTTCCTGTTTAGGTGCTCGTCTTTTCTGTCTTTAGCAGCTCTCTTGTTACCTTGGATTCATATCCCCCATAACCAGTCTCTCTCTATAAATGGATAGGCCTCCTGAGACCCCAGCAGATAAGCACACACTAACATCCTCAATTCCCAAATGTGTGCTCTTGGAACATGTACACGCACATGCGCCTCCAGGACTTAAATGTCAGCTAAAGCTATTCCCCCAGGAATGGAGTGGAAAGCCACAGTCAGAAGCACCAGCCCCTGAACCTGAGAGAGGAAGTGATTCATTGTTGCCCCAAGCACAATTCACAATGACCTGGGATCCCTTTTCATGGCTGCTTGGCAAGATCAGGGACCGAGGAAGGTAGGAGTGCTCAGCCAGGAGGAAACAGACAGCACAACTGGGCAGAGCAGATTTGCTGACCTGGATCACCAACGGGATGACCTGGATCACCAACGGGACATTCGCTGGCCGTCAGGAGAGAGGCAAGAGAGGCTGTCACAGCTGGACAAGCAATTTATCACCCATCCAAATGTAATGGGCAGAAGAAAAAAAGGAAACGGAGGCAACATGGGGGAGTTAAAAAAAAGTCAAACTAGTGTGATCAAACCATGTGCAAGTAGAAAGGAGAGGTCTTCCATTGTGCAGTTGCGGCTGCCATCTTGACCTTTTTTTACCCCTGAAAGCAGGACACAACATCTTGGCTCCCTTCTCATAAGATCGGGAGCTTCTAGCAGAGGGAACCCATGCTGTTTTGAATGCTTAAGGCCAAGGACAGGATTTCAGCTTTTGGAGCTACAACAGCAAAATTTCAGGCGGCAGTCTCAGGTTCATATATGTGGGAACAAGCCCACAGAATGCAGTGGGGCTGGCTTCCAAGACTTGTTGAAGGTCTAGGCTGCCATGTGCTGCAGCCTTTCTCCAGGGATGGGAAGACCTTCTTTCGGCAGTGAAAACAGGGAAAAAGAAAGACTCCCTTAAAGGAAGGGCCCAAATGCAGCCCTTCCAGCCCAGGGAAATGCCAAATGGGTGATCATGTCTGATTTTTATATGCCTCATTTTTCCATTGCAGCACAACAGCTCATGCATCGTGCTCATGGTGACTCACTCCCGGGTCACCTCATGACTGGACTATTGCAATGTGCTCTACGTGGGACTGCCCTTGAAGGGCACTAGGAAGCTGCAGTGGGTCCAGAATGCAGCGGTGTGGGCAATTTTGAGCGTTTCTCATTATGCCCATGTAAGGTACTGCACTGGCTCTCAGTAGGCTTCCACGTGCAATTCAAGGCACTGGTCATCATCTATAAAGCTATCCATGGCATAGGGCCAGGCTACTTGTGGGACTGCCTTTCTCCTATTATTTCTGCCTACCCCACCAGATCTAGTAGAGAGGGCATGTTCTGGGTCCCTTCTATTAAACAATGTCATCTTGTGGGTTGCTGGAGTTGTGTCTTCTCAGTGGTAACAGCATCCCCCCAGAGATTTGGATGACCCCAACCCTGCTAGCCTTTTGCAAGGCACTGAAGATTTGTCTGTTTCCCCAGGCATTCAGGTCCAGGGGTAGTTGAGTTCTGCTATTGTTGATGGTGAGTGGGGTCAGAAGTTGATCCCTGGGCACTGGGGGGGGAGGTAGGCTTGGTAGGTTTGTCTGTTTGACTCACTTGTGGACAACTATATACATCAAATACATCAAATACATACATACAAAGTATTTGAATTAAATTAAAAATTGCAATGGGAACCACCAACCAACTCTTAACAAACAGCAATCCAGTTTGTCATGGTCCAGTGTGGTTTTGCAGCATTAGTCTTTAATTTCCACGCTGCTCAAATTCCCTCCTTACCAGAGTGTCCAAACTGAGAAGCTTTGGTTAGCCTCCAAAACAGAAACCTCCATATACATAGTAATCAAGGTTCCTGGAAAGGAACCATAAATCAGAAGGAAGACAGGGGTTCAGAATGTACATGGCGGGGGAATCCCAAACAAGTTTCTCAGCCAAATCCAGTTAACAGTGACATAGCCTAGAAAAGGAAGAAGTAATAGCTGCATTTTCTACAATGTCCCTTGACTTCAACAAAGCATTTGATAGTCGCCCATATTCAATAGGGAGAAATGCAAAGGCTATACATTTGGGCAGGAAAAATCAAAGACAAGAGTATAGGATGGGAGGGTCCATACTAGATAATGGCACATCCAAAAAGGTCTGGGTGTTTTGGTGGATCACAAACAAAACGTGAGTGTGATGCAGCTGCAAAACAACAACAAAAAAGCAAATATAGTGGAACCTTGGGTTACGAACGCTTCTGTTCACGAATTTTTCGGGTGATGACCAGCTCCGGCCGCAAAATTTTGCTTCGGTTTGCGAACTCCGCCTCGGGTTATGAACAGGATCCGTGGCCATTTTCCCGCCCGTGACCTGGTCCGCGGCCATTTTCCCGCCCGTGACAGGTGGTCCGCGGCCATTTTCAGCCCCTGACACGTGGTCCGCGGCCATTTTCCGCCCCTGACACGTGGTCCGCGG